GGGTGGGACTCTTCTTCAGGAGAGGGCTGTCACTCTTCCCCTTGGGGACAGGGGATAGGCTGACGGGGACAGGGTGGGCGAGATGGGGGGATCCCATTGGTCGGCCCTCTAGGCTGCTGCTGTCCCCAGCCAATCGGGCAGTAGAAGAGTCGGAGGGCTTGAAGGCGGGCTTGATTGGAGGAGGCTCATTGGGGGCAGTCCTGGGTGGGGCTTTGGGACTGCCTGATTGGTTGAAGAGCTGACCAATCAGGCTCTTCTCGTACCTCTCCCTGTTGAAGACAGGAACCACTTCCAGACGCACTATGGGGGACCGCATAGCATAACGGAACACTTCCTGTGCCCTGGGGGAGAACACACCACTCAGACAGGCAGTCAACCATACTACTGACAACAACATATGGTTCAAATCCAAAAACTGTGGGTCACAAAGAGTCACCTGATGCATCCACAATGACACCCTACTCCCTATAGCGTGACCAGGGTCCATATGGTGGCTCTGGTCAAAAGAAGGGTGTCATTTGAGATGCACCTTAGACTAACATACTACTGACAGCAAAAATCAGTATAGGTCGAATTCTTACCGTGCATAACTCAGACTTTGTGCATTACTCTTGTATTGGAGTCAATGGGAGATATGCATAACAATGATATTAATGTGTCTAGATCAAGTTAGGGTTCAGCCCTATATTAAGAAAACTCTCAGATTTCACTTATAGATGAACAGGACATCTGTGTGAAAGTGACTAACAAAATCAATGGGCGCCACCCGGTCAGTAATTCGAACATGATTACTACAAGTTTAGATAGCTGGCTAGACTAAATTAGCATGGACTAATGGACTAATTGAGTGACTGTCAGTGACTGACATAACAAGAGAACAACTGCTGATGCAACAACCAAATTACGAAATTGCACCTTGTGTATTCTACTATTCTAACTCAACTGAGTTCTCCCCCCCCAAAAAAAAAAATATATATCTATATACAGTATATATGGGGGGGATTAATCCACGGGATTATAACAGGGGGGCAGCCACCACTTGCCCATCCCTGCCTTAAACAAACACCACAACAATGAGTAGACACACAGAGGAACTACATCTGATACAAGCCAGATAGCCCACTCTCCCTCTCTTCCGCGCTAAGGGAGATAGAAACACCATACACAAAGGCCCCTGCCTGATATCAAAGAGCGGAGCTACTTACTGGGCAAAGGATTTGTCCATTAACTCTGTATCATTGATTTTAACAATGCACTCGTCGTCCTGGAAGATCCCCTCTCTCTTAGAACGACTGTTCTCCTCCACACCACGAATGTGCAGACCCAGAGCCCTGCAAAAATAGAGACAGAGAGAGAGAGAGAAGGAAGGGGAGAGAGAAGAGAAGAGAGAAAGAGAGGGGGGAGAAAAGGGGAAAAGAAGGGGACAGAGAGAGAGAAAATTAGAGAAAAAAAGGAAAAAACGGGGGGGAGACGAAAAAGAGAGGAGAGAGAGAGAAGAGAAGAACAAAGAGGGAAAAGAAAAAGAGAGGGGGGGCTTAGAAAAGAGAAAAGGGGGGAAAGGGGGGGAAAACCTTTACATTTGACCCCCAAACAACCCAAAATAAAGGAGCCCTTAATCCTTTTTAAACGAACTAAAAAAACCCTCTCATCAAAAGCTGTTAAAAAGTCCCTCAGAAAAAACAAGGGGTCATGTGACAGAAGCCCCGGAGCACCAAGAAAAAGTGGCCAAAGGGAAAAAAAAAGGAAAAGGGAAAAAAAAAAAAAAAAACCAAACAGAAAAAATCATTCAGCGGAAAGTTTTAGGGTGAACAGTCCTGTCTGTCCAATACGTGCCAACTCCCCGCAAGGGCAAGATTTCGTTCAGCTTCGCTTTCTGTCCCCCTTTTTGGGCCCCATTTTGAGCTCCCAGACAAGGCCCTAAAAAAACAGGGGGTTTTAAATCACAAAACGGGCTCTCAAAATCCTCTCTCTGCCCTCAAGTCAACACACCGATAACACTGGGTTCAGTTTTTCCCCCCCAAAAATAGGGTCTGCTCCACTCCTTCTCCCAAAAAGTTTGGGGGCTGTCCCCCTCCTTTTCCCCCAAAATTTGGGGGGGCTCCGCCCTTTCTCCCAAACAGGAGGGGGTTTTTTCCGGGTTTTTCCCAAAGTAGGGCCCGGGTTCCGTCCTTCTCCCAAAAAATAGGGGCCTGTCTATTTCCCTTTTCCCAAAAAGTTTTGGGTCTGGGGTCCCCTCCTTCTCCCAACAGTAGGGGCTTGGGGCCCCCTCCTTTTCCCCAAAACGTAGGGGCTGCTCTGCTCCCTTTTCCCCCAAAAAGTAGGGTTGCTCCCTCCTTCTCCCAACAGTAGGGCCTGTCCCCCCCCTTCTCCCAACAGTAGGGTCCTGCCCCCGTCCCTTTCCCAAAAGTAGGGTCTGGGCCCCCTCATTCCCCCCAACAGAGGGCCTGCTTGCTCCCTTTTCCCAAAAAGAGGGCCCGCTCTATTCCTTTTCCCAAAAATAGGGCCCCTCCATTTTCCCTTTTCCCAACATAGGGCCCGGCTATTTCCCTTTTCCCCAACCGTAGGGTCCGGCCCCCCCTTGGGGTCTCCCCTCCCCTTTTCCCCAAAAGTTTTGGGGCCGCTCCCCTCCTTCTCCCAACATTTGGGCCCGCTCTATTTTCCCTTTTTCCCAAAATTTGGGTTTTCTCCCCTCCTTCTCCCAAAAAGAGGGCCGGGTCCCTCCTTCTTCCCAAAAAGAGGGGCCCGTCCCCTTTCCCTTTTCCCCTCTTCTCCTCCCTTTTTCCCCTGGGGTCTCCCCCCCTTTTCCCTTCTCCCTCCCCCGCCCCTTCGCCCCCCTTTTTTCCCTCATTTTTCCGGGCCCTCTCCCTCTCTCCCTTTTCCCTTTCCCGGGGGCCCCCTCTAGTCCCCTGGGGTCCTTCCCTTCTTTCTTCTCCCCTATCTCCCCCCGCCTTTTTCCCCCAAAATGGGGGCCTCCCCCCTTTCCCCGGTGGTTGGCTTTTAACCACCCTCTCCCTCCTTCCCCCTGGGCCGTCTCCAATTACAAAATCCTTCTCCAACTCCTTTTCCCTCTTCCCTCCCTCTACCCTTCTATAGTCTCGCGGTTCTCTCTCTCGGTCCCCCCCCGCCCTTAGCCCCATGCCCCCCCTTCCCCCCCTCCCCATCCGCCCTCCCTTCCTTTTCGCCCTTTCCCAAAAAACCCCCCACCATGTCCTCCACCTGTCCCCGGCCCCAGGGGCCCCAAACCCGAAAACATTTGGGGGGAAAAGGGAAATAAAGCCGTGCAGGGCCCTTTAAAATTAATCCCCCCCCCTGTACAACTTCGGGCAGGGAAAACCAATCCACATGAACCCTACTGTAGACATTAAAAAGGACAGAACCCATAGGACAAAGACGACGGAAGGGGCAGAATGGAGGTTCTGTTTAAACATCGTGTCCCCTTTATTAAAGAAAGAAAAAAGTATATTCCCCCCAGGGCTTTTCACTTGTCAGGGAAAAAGTAATAAAACTTACAGCCCGCTCATGGGTTTCTCTTGGGGTTTAAACCCAAAGTCCCCCTGGGCATTACAACGTAAATTTTCGCTTTTTAACCACGATGGCCCTACTCAGGTCCGTAAGGCAAATTTGATGTGTATAAAATTTTCACTGGGTTTCCTTCCTTTCAGGTTCCAAAAAATAAACCCCATTAAGTAGATTTTAGTTCAGTTTCCAATCAAGTATTGGCCCGCCCAAAATTACACCCAAAATGGACATGGCGGGTTTTGAATGTCCTGGCCCGCAGCCCAAAACCACATCCGCATCTAAATCAGTGTGTGCCATGTCAGAGACAGGTCTGTTGAATGGTGCTACAATAAACAGAATACAACAGAAATTTTGACCCCCCTTTCGATTTTCCTCTGACCCCCTCCACTGACCCCCTAGACCCCCCCTCTGACCCCCTCTACTGACCCCCTACTGTCTCCTCGACCCCCCAAGGGGGCCCCCACTGATTCCCCCGGGCCCCCCCCATGACCCCCTTACTGAATCTCCTCTGCCCCCCCCACCCGACCCCCCATGACTCTCCTCTGACCCCCCCTACCGGGCCCCCCACTGACCCCCCCTTTGACCCCCCCCTAATGACCCCTCCCGACCCCCCCCATGAAACCCCCCTCTGGGCCCCCCTCCTCTGACCCCCTCCACTTACCCCCACTGGGCTCTCCTCTCCCCTCTGACCCCCCCTACTTACCCGAAACCCCTACTGATTCCTTTCCCCTGAACCCCCCCCTATGGGCCCCCCCCTCTCCTCTGACCCCCCCCCACTGACCCCCCTTTCTGACTTCCCCCTGACCCCCTCCATCCCCCAATGACTCTCCTCTGACCCCCCCCCACTGACCCCCTACTGACTCTTTCCCCTTTAAACCCCCCAAATGACCCCCTACTGACTCTCCTCTGACCCCCTCCACTGACCCCCTACTGACTCTCCTCTGACCCCCTCCACTGACTAAGTGTTACCTCTCTAGAACATTGCCTCTCCACACCAAACACATTGATTCATATAGGTCAAATAATAGCTCATTATGTTCAGAGGCTAAACATTGATTTGAAGGAAAAGGATAGAGAGAGTGAAGACGGGACGCACGCACGCACGCACGCACGCACGCACGCACGCACGCACGCACGCACGCACGCACGCACGCACACACACAACACACACACACACCACACACCACACAACACACACACACGGTAGCCTAGCGGTTAGAGCGTTGGGCCAGTAACCCAACGGTCGCTGGTTCAAATAATTGAGCCGACAAGGTGAGAGAGAGAGAGAGAGAGAGAGAGAGAGAGAGAGAGAGAGAGAGAGAGAGAGGTAAAATATAGCCTATAAAGTGATGTGTATGGACTGACTGACAGACAGACAGAGGGGGATGATGTACTCACCGGCCGCTGAGAGAGGAAACATAAGGAACCACGTGGATCCCCAGAGGACCATGTTCTCCTGAGATCTCAACTGTCTTGGTCAGGCTGCAAACACAGACACGTTATTAGTTGGCAGGAGAAAACACAGACACCATCAACAGGCAGGAGAACACACAGACACCATCAACAGGCAGGACAGAAAACACAGACAGGAAGGAACACGTCATTAGAGAGGAGAGGAGCGAAACACAAAGGATCCAGTGTTCTGTAGCCTGTAAACGTACACTGTCATGGCTGTGAAAGGAGAACTCCCACTGTTCCAGGTCTGCTAGTCAGTCACTATCTTCTCTCTTTCTCGCTCACAAACACACACTGTTCCAGGTCTGCTAGTCAGTCACTATCTTCTCTCTTTCTCGCTCACAAACACACACTGTTCCAGGTCTGCTAGTCAGTCACTATCTTCTCTCTTTCTCGCTCACAAACACACACTGTTCCCGGTCTGCTAGTCAGTCACTATCTTCTCTCTTTCTCGCTCACAAACACACACTGTTCCAGGTCTGCTAGTCAGTCACTATCTTCTCTCTTTCTCGCTCACAAACACACACTGTTCCAGGTCTGCTAGTCAGTCACTATCTTCTCTCTTTCTCGCTCACAAACACACACTGTTCCCGGTCTGCCAGTCAGTCACAACACACTCCAGTGAACACATGTTCCTGTTTTTTTTGCCCTGGCTCCTAAACTGTTTCCATGATGATCATGTCTCTTTGCAGCTACAGATGTAGGATCTTAATTCGACCAGTTTCTCACAGCAGGAAAATGAACCTGCAGCAACAGGACATGTGAATTATTGCGTGAAATATAATGAATGGACATTTTTGTAGGGGTTGGTACATTTTTAGTTAGGGCAAATCAAGTCTGACATCTTAAAGTGTGGTCCTCTGTAGCTCAATTGGTAGAGCATGGCGCTTGTAACGCCCAGGGTAGTGGGTTCGATCCCCGGGACCACCCATACGTAAAAATGTATGCACACATGACTGTAAGTCGCTTTGGATAAAAGCGTCTGCTAAATGGCATATTATTATTATTTATTTATTTATTTAAAGTGGAAACTTTTAAAATGTCCTGCAACAACAGGGTGATCGAATTAAGATCCTACACCTGTACTGACTAATATTAATTGTTGAATGTTTTTTCATCTTCTAATCTTTCCCTGTGTGGGCTGTAATATTCTTGGCATGGGGTGTGATTACTGCTAGCCACGTGTCCATTGGAATGTTCCCCCTATATGCATTTATGGGGTGTGATTAGCCACGAGCATTGTAACCAATGTTCCCTCTAAACTGCGTGCATGCACGGGTGTGCAGCTCCCCCAGGACTAAAGCTCCCCCAGGACTGCAGGTCCCTTTGCAGAAAAACAGCCCCAAAGCATGATGTTTCCACCCCCATGCTTCACAGTAGGTATGGTGTTCTTTGGATGCAACTCAGCATTCTTTGTCCTCCAAACACGACGAGTTTTTACCAAAAAGTTATATTTTGGTTTCATCTGACCATATGACATTCTCCCAATCCTCTTCTGGATCATCCAAATGCACTCTAGCAAACTTCAGATGGGCCTGGACATGTACTGGCTTAAGCAGGGGGACACATCTGGCACTGCAGGATTTTAGTCCCTGGCGGCGTAGTGTGTTACTGATGGTAGGCTTTGTTACTTTGGTCCCAGCTCTCTGCAGGTCATTCACTAGGTCCCCCCGTGTGGTTCTGGGATTTTTGCTCACCGTTCTTGTGATCATTTTGACCCCACGGGGTGAGATCTTGCGTGGAGCCCCAGATCGAGGGAGATTATCAGTGGTCTTGTATGTCTTCCATTTCCTAATAATTGCTCCCACAGTTGATTTCTTCAAACCAAGCTGCTTACCTATTGCAGATTCAGTCTTCCCAGCCTGGTGCAGGTCTACAATTTTGTTTCTGGTGTCCTTTGACAGCTCTTTGGTCTTGGCCACAGTGGAGTTTGGAGTGTGACTGTTTGAGGTTGTGGACAGGTGTCTTTTATACTGATAACAAGTTCAAACAGGTGCCATTAATACAGGTAACGAGTGGAGGACAGAGGAGCCTCTTAAAGAAGAAGTTACAGGTCTGTGAGAGCCAGAAATCTTGCTTGTTTGTAGGTGACCAAATACTTATTTTCCACCATAATTTGCAAATAAATTCATTAAAATTCCTACAATATATTTTGATTTGTTTAACACTTTTCTGGTTACTACATGATTCCATATGTGTTATTTTCATAGTTTTATTGTCTTCACTATTATTCTACAATGTTGAAAATAGTAAAAATAAAGAAAAACCCTTGAATGAGTAGGTGTGTCCAAACCTTGACTGGTACTGTGTGTGACTCGTTTCATGAAACTAGGCGTACGTCGTGCATCACTACTTCACAGGAGAGCCATTTGAACGTAAACGTCTTCTTTTTTTTTATCAAAATGCATTTTTTTGGCAGAAATACCTTCTGGAACATGTGAACTTTCATGTGCCTTAATAACAAACTGCCATCTGTAAATACGAATAAAATAGTTCAATTACAGGCCTAGTTGTTTTAGCCATGGAAAAAAGACAGCAACCTTCCCGCTAGCCATGATTGGCTGAGATAATGAGTGGGCTGGACACGCTGAGAGATGAGTTCGGATTGGTCTACCATGTAGCACTGTTCTGTCTATAATAAGAGTTGGTCAGTATGTGTAGGTAATCCTTTCTAACGCAGCTTTTTTGAAAGATATCACGTAGTAGAACTGCATAAGACCGAGTTTTGAAATCAGTGGAATTAGATTATGATAGCTAAGGAGATGGAGAGAATTATGGCGTTTGATTGCAAATATGAGTCTGAAAAGACAACACAGAAGGCTACGGATTACATCTTCAAACTAAGGACAACCATGGCATCTGTGACAGAGCGGGAGAATCGCCCATCCATGTATACGGGTAAGAGAGTCTAGCCAGCTACATTTTCAGATATTACACATATCTAATTTTGTCAGAAAGTCATTTTCATTTCAAGTTAAAGTGTACTGTTAGCTAGCTAGCTAACGTTAGCTGGCTGGCTAGCTAGCTAACGTTACATGTATGATCTGTGTAGTAATATTATTCGTATCTCAGAGCCATTTGCATTGCTAGTTATAGCCTAATGTTAGCTAACTAACATTGAACCTGGTTGGTTAGCTACCTGCAGATTCATGCAGGGTAGTAACATTATGTGTTGGGAATCTGGTTCATTGTTTAGCTAGCTAGCTACATGTCTAAACAATAGACTCCACTATGTTGGGATTATGGTTCGTTGTTTAGCTAGCTAGCTACATGTCTTAACAAAAAGACTCCACTATTATGATGTCACTGCGACAACTGTCGATAGACGTAGCTGGTAAATTCGCTCTGGCTATCTACTCAGATTTCAGAGCACTCTCCTCTCATCTGAGTGTGCCAGAGCGCATAATAATTTACTAATTTTACGAACGCTCAACACCCGTTGAATCCGTTGAATATGGCCAGTGTCAGTAAACGTTGGCCAAAAAAAGCGGAATTAAATTGTTGCCAGCAGCACAGCACGCTCTGGATAACATAAAAACAGCCTGCTAGGGCGAGTAAAACGGTCAGCGTGAGATGTTCTCTCATTTGTGTCTGGAAGTGGCTAGCAAGCTAGACAACGTTAGCCAGTTAGCTTGGGTGCTTGACTACTGTTGTTAGGTCAGAACGCTCGAATCAACCCTACTTTTCGGCCAGAGCGTCCAGTGTGGGCTCCAAGAGCGAAACGCTCTGAATTTACGAACACCCAGAGCACACTCTAGCACTCCAGATTAAATTTACGAACACACCCGTAGTATAAACCAGCCTTTAGTCTTGAAATCTTTGGTTGTTTAGCACACGGCCTCACATGTGATTCCTTAAAGAGATGGGTGGGGCTAAATCTTTAAACGGTGTGAACGATGCTGAATGGGTGTAGACAAAGAAGAGCTCTCCAGTAGGTGTACCAAAATATTCAAAGCCATTTTCTCAAAAAGTGAGGTTACAAGTTGATCAACTTTCAAAAGCAGAATTACTTTCCCATTGTTCCTCAACTGTAGTGTATGAGATACCATTTTTATAGCTCTGAGTCTCTACTTTTATTTATTATGTGAAAAACACATTTTCAAATGTTCCTACATAAGAACGAATCGAGCTGGTCGGTCACATACTGTCCGGTCTCACAATTCCCGAGCATGAAAAGGCACAAGGGGTGTTCAGTGTGTTGTGTGGCTACAGCAGTGCCTTCGGAAAGTATTCAGACCCTTTATCACTTTTCAAACATGTTGTTACGTATACAGCCTTCTTCTAAAATTGATTGAATGCAAATTGTTCTTCATCAATCTACACACACAATATCCCATAATGATCTTTGCAAATGTAAAATACATTAATAAATAAAATATCTTATTTACATAAGTATCCAGACCCTTTGCTATGAGAATCGAAATTGAGCTCAGGTGCATCCTGTTTCCATTGATCATCCTTGAGATGTTTCTACAACTTGATTGGAGTCCACCTGTGGTAAAATCAATTGATTGGACATGATTTGGAAAGGCACACACCTGTTTTTATAAGGTCCCGAAGTTGACAGTGCATGCCAGAGAAAAAACCAAGCCATGAGGTCGAAGGAATTGTCCGTAGAGCTCCGAGACAGGTTTATGTTGAGGCACAGATCTGGGGAAGGGTACCAAAACATTTCTACAGCATTGAAGGTCCTCAAGAACACAGTGGCCTCCATCATTCTTAAATGCAAGAAGAAGGGAGAAGGGTCAAACTGAGCAATCGAGGGAGAAGGGTCTTGGTCAGGGAGGTGACCAAGAACCCGATGGTCACTCTGACAGAGCTCCAGAGTTCCTCTGTGGAGATGGGAGAACCTTCCAGAAGGACAACCATCTCTGCAGCACTCCACCAATCAGGCCTTTATAGTAGAGTGGCCAGACGGAAGCCACTCCTCAGTAAAAGGCACATGACATTCTGCTTGGAGTTTGCCAAAAGGCACCCAAAGGACTCTCAGACCATGAGAAACAATATTCTCTGATCTGATGAAACC